TGATACATTAGTATTACTAAAATCTGTGGTTTACATCAGGGCTCACTCTTTGTGTTATACAGTTCTGTGGGTTTTGACAAATGCAAAATGTCATGTATCCACCATTAGAGTGGCATATAGAATAGTTTCACTGTTCTAAAATACTCCATGTTCCACCTATTCTTCTTTCCCAAACACCCCTCAACCCCTGGCAACCACTGACCCTTTTACTATCTCCATAGTTTTTCCTTTGCCAAAATGCCATCTAGTTGAAATCATACAGTATGCAGCCTTTTCAGATTGGCTTTTGTCACTTAGTAATATGCATTTAAGTTTCCTCCATGTCTTTATAGCTCATTTCTTTCTTTTTTTTTTTTAAGGATTTTATTTATTTATTTGACAGAGAGAGAGACAGCAGGGGGAGCGGGAGAGGGAGAAGCAGGCTTCCCGCGGAGCAGGGAGCCCAACGCCGGCTCCCTGGACCCTGGGATCAGGACCTGAGCTGAAAGCAGACCCTTAACGACTGAGCCACCCAGGCGCCCCGATAGCTGATTTCTTTTTAGCGCTGAATAATATTCCATTGTCTGGGTATTTATTCAGTTGCTTATTCATATACTTACTGAAGAACATCTGGTTGCTTTCAAGTTTTGGCAATTATGAATAAAGCTGCTATAAATATTCTTGTACAAGTTTTTATGTGGACATAACTCTCCAATTCATTTGGGTAAATACCTAGTAGTACAATTTCTGGGTCATATAGTAATAGCATGTTTCATAAGAAACTTCCGAAATGTCTTCCAAGGCAGCTGTACCGTTTTGCATCCTTACCAGCAATGAATGAGAGTTCCTGTTGCTCATATCCCTGTCACCATTTGGTGTTGTCAGTGTTTTGAATTTTAGCTATTCTCTTAGGTGTATAGTAGTATCTTTCAATTAGCAATAATCGCACCTCGGATAAACTTCATTGGCTATGAGACTGCCACTGCATAAAGCTGTATAGTAGTATCTTATTGTAATCTGCATTTCTTAATAACATATGATACTGAACATCTTTTATATGATTATTTGCCATCTGTACGTCTTCTTTGGTAAGGTGTCTCTTCAGATATTTTATCCATTTTGTAATTCAGCTGTTTCTTTTTGTTTCTGTTTGTTTCCAGGAAAATTCATCATCTTCCATGCCGACCTCATTTTGTTGTTTTCAAAGGTGTTCCCTCTCTCGTTTAATTGTCATCAAAGGCACTTAGAATAATCTCTTCAATAGGTTTGTCCTTTAGGAAAACAACCGCCAGGAAGAAATTTATCTTTTAAGAAAGGCATGGGGTTTGGGGAATACAGCAGTAGGATTTTTCATTTTATAATCTGCTCTACTAATTGATTTTCCCCCAAATGCATATAATTATTTTTAGTTTTCAAGTAAACAGATAAGAAAAAAACTGCCATGATGGCAAAAAAAAAAATTTAATTATAAGAAGTCAGTCACAGACAACCTTACTCTTCTCTAATGTGATTTCTCATTTACTGCTTACTTTGTCAACTGTTGCTAAAGAAGAACATCACAAAAGAGAAAGTAAAGAACTAAAAAAGAAAAGAAAAACCACATTAACAAGATTTTGAAGAGGAAATGATAATTTAAAAATACAGAGGCGAAGATTTATGTAATATACAGTGAGCCTCCTACTCAGCTTCTCACCTGAACCCTCAGACAGTCAAGCTGACTTCTAGTAGCTGACCACGTGGAAGTCTTTCGATGCCCCACTAAGGCTGGAAAAACATGGGAGAGGATATTAAAGAAGAGGATGTTTTATTAGTTCCTGGTTTCAGTCCTAACAAATTATTGGCTAAGGTAAAAATAAAATGGTTTTCATTCATACTGAACTAAACAATCAAATACTCCTGTGTAGTTCATAGAATATAATTAAAGAGAAATTTCAACCTAACCATGAGTTCTCAATGCTGTCCCTGACGGCAAGGATGGTCTAACTTTTCCTTGAATCAGGATTCAGGGTAGAAATGAAAATATCTCTTCACTTAGGGACTGTTGAAGCTGCTGCTGGGAATAAGTTAGGGTGTACATCTTGCTAGTTTTTAAACTTGCAGAATGATAAACCAAAGGATAAACAGAAAGCACAATTCCAAATTGCTGCTGAGAAAACACCAAATATTTCTCTTCTTGTCCCTCTCTCTCATTTTAAGAACCAAACATGCAAAAAGAAAAAAAGAAAAAGAAAAAAGAAAGAAAGAAAGAAAGAAAGAAAGAAAGAAAGAAAGAAAGAAAGAAAAGAAACAAACACGCAAACAAACAACTACAGCAAACCCCCAAACCTTCTAATGACTTGTATGTATCTGTCAACAATCTTATCTTGGAAGAAAAAGAGAGGAAAGCTTAGAACTACACCATTTTAGAGGGGTAAAAGAAGAAAACACTGTGTCCTGGAAAGTTCCTTTCCAAACATCTTCTTGAGAGCAAGTCCAAATAAAATGCATGTCGTTTGCTTTTTAGCAGAAAACCTCTACCAAAATATTGCATGTAATGGTAGAATTGCTTCTCCCTCTTTTTTAATTAAACAGATAACTATAAATAATGTTCTGAGCTGGTTATGCCAAGGCCTTATTATTTTGAGATTAGGAAGAAAGTTCCAAATGAAGTAGTTTCAGTGATATGGCTTGGCTTCTGGCCCCATCTCAGATAAAATTCAGCCTTTCTCTGAAAAAATCACCGTCTCCTATATTCCTCAGATCTGAGATTCAAATCCGGTTGGATTTTGGTCCTGATTTCATAAAGGAAGGATTTGATAGAGTGTCTTTAAGTCAGAGTTCTGTGCTACAGAAGCGAAGTGAAATATTATTCAATTCAACAAATAGTTTTTATGTAAGGAAAAAATGCTTCAAATACTCTATAAAATTCTTTGCATATTATCTCTTATACTGGAGAGTAGAACTATAGTCATTTCTGTTTCTAAATAATACGGCCTGAGACCTGCCCACTTCTCTCTTTTCATCTTATTGACATTAACCATCATCACAATAAATTGCCTAAATCATGATGTGTCCTCCATTCAGGCTGCCCCACTCAGTGTAGGGTAGGATTCTTCAAAGGAAATCAAATTAGGACAGACCATCAGAGGCTTAGAAATGTTGGGCCCTTTGAGGGGCATGTGGGTGGCTTAGTCTGTTAAGCGTCTGACTTTGGCTCAGGTCATGATCTCAAGGTCCTGGGATGGATCCCCCGCCTTGAGCCCCTACTAGGGCTCCCCACTCAGCAGGGAGTCTGCTTGTCCCTCAGCCCCTCCCACCTCCCTGTCCCAAGCCCTCACCCCTGCTATGCTCTCCCTCTCTCTCTCTCTCTCTCAGATAAATAAAATCTTTAAAAAGAGAAAGAAATGTTTGGGCCCTTTGACACAGGAATGACACTTCTATTGATTTTTCCTGAATAAATCATCTTACGTGTAGAAAGAAAGAAATAAAAAACTGGTATATAGAAAGACATTAGTTGGGGCGCCTGGGTGGCTCAGTCGTTAAGCATCTGCCTTCGGCTCAGGTCATGATCCCAGGGTCCTGGGATCAAGTCCCACGTCGGGCTCCCTACTCTGTGGGAAACCTGCTTCTCCCTCTCCGCACCCCCTGCTTGTGTTCCCTCTCTCGCTGTGTCTCTCTCTGTCAAATAAATAAATTAAAAAATTAAAAAACTAAAAAAAAAAAAAAAGAAAGACATTAGTCACAGCAGTATTTATAATGATGAAAATTGAAAACTTAATGTTCAAGAATCAGGAAAAGGTTAAGGAAAATCCCCACATTTAAATTTTGTAACGATTAAAATGTTGGTTTATCAAACATCTGAATTATTATGGATAATAATTACTTAGTGATTAATTATTAGAACTATGTTAAAATATATAAGCATAAAAAAAAGATTCTGGAAATAAATATGCCAAAGCATTATCAATAATTATAATGGGATTATGGATAATTTTATTGTGATTTTTTTCTATCCATTTATATTTTTCTAATGATATCTCATGGACTTGTATTACTTTTATAGTTTTTTTTTTTAATCATGCTTTTCAAAGCTGGAACAAACGAAGACTATATTGTTTGTCATAAACCTCCACTGTTATGAAGACTTGTTTTCCTTGTAGTGGCTCCCAGTTCACACACCGATATAGCACCTAGAAGTAAAGCAGGAAACCAGCATTTCTGAAACTCTTGGAGGAGAAGATGGACTAACAGGTAAATGTCTGTCTTCCTCCCTGAGAAACCAGATGACAACCAGGAGCCTAGAAATTATTTATAGCTGCTGGGAATAGATGAAGTAGTTAATAGAAAAAGAGATCCTGAAAAATGAGGTGTTTCTTCCAAAATAATAGTATTATTTAATATTTGAAGGGCATTTCACGGTTGAAACACTTTACTAGGGCACCTGGGTGGCTCAGTTGGTTGGGTGACTGCCTTCGGCTCAGGTCATGATCCTGGAGTCCCTGGATCGAGTCCCACATCGGGGTCCCTGCTCGGCGGGGAGCCTGCTTCTCCCTCTGACCCTCCCCCCTCTCATGTACTCTCTCTCTCATTCTCTCTGTCTCAAATAAATAAATAAAATCTTTAAAAAAAAAAAAGAAACACTTTACTAACATGATCTCATTCTATCTTCCCCGCCACTCTGTTAGAGAAGCATCATTATTTTGATTTCACATATCACACAGCTGAAGCTTAGTGAAGTTAAGTAAGTTTCCCACAGTCACAAAGCTTTTAAGTGAAAGCTTTTTTTTTTTAAAGATTTTATTTATTTATTTGAGAGAGAGAATGAGATAGAGAGAGAGAGCATGAGAGGGGGGAGGGTCAGAGAGAGAAGCAGACTCCCTGCCGAGCAGGGAGCCCGATGCGGGACTCGATCCTGGGACTCCAGGATCATGACCTGAGCCGAAGGCAGTCGCTTAACCGACTGAGCCACCCAGGCGCCCTAAGTGAAAGCTTTTAAGTGAAAGCTTGGGTTCTCAATTCAGGTTTCCCGATTTTCAATTCAAACTCTGTTGCTCCCACGTTGTTACATAATGTACTACATGTTGTGTAAGACACTTTCCACGTGCAAGACACACTGCTGGAATTAAAAGGGGAAAAAAGAAGCATGGTTTCTAGTCTCCAAGAACTTACGACCTAATAGAAAAAACAGGACACAGACAAACTGTCTGTGGGTACAGGTCACGTTTAAAATGCCAAGTCAGTAGTGTAGACTGAAAATGCTTTAAAAGTTGAGAGGACAGAACAGTATCTGTGAGCAGAGGTGACTGTGGAAGGATGATCTGGTTATCAGAGAAGGAACTAGGGAAGAGAGGATGGCACCGTGGCTACACTGGGGAGAAGAGGAGAGTGAATCAAGAAGCAGAAGTGACACTAAACCAGCTTCAATTCTCTTCTTCAATCTGCGTGGAGATTCACTCATCCTATTTGTAATATAAGCTCTCCAGTCATAAGTAAGTAAACGTGTCGAATTTGTAGCTTTTTGTTTTGGCTTGTGTGTGTGTGTGTGTGTGTGTTGCTCATCACAGAGCATTACAGTTATTGTGCACCTTTCTCCTTCATTGCCTGAGATGATGAATGTCCTCCATTGATTAATTTATCACCCAGCCACGTATGTGTGGGCCTCTGATGAGCCAAACACTGCCACTGACGTAGCAACTGAGTACACAAAGTGGAACAAGCGTTCACGGCCCTGCAAGCGCCTACTTTCTTTCTTTCTTTTTTTTTTTTTTAAGATTTTATTTCTTTATTTGACAGAGAGAGACACAGCGAGAGCAGAACACAAGCAGGGGGAGTGGGAGAGGGAGAAGCAGGCTCCCCGTGGAGCAGGGAGCCCGATGTGGGACTCGATCCCAGGACCCTGGGATCATGACCTGAGCCGAAGGCAGACGCTTAATGACTGAGCCACCCAGGTGCCCCTTGGTGCCTACTTTCCAGACGGAGAGACTACATGTAAAATGCTAACAATTATTTCCATAATGATAGATATGAAAACTCAGCATTTATGAAGTAAAAGAGAAGCACCTACCTCTGCATAAATGGGGATATGGTATAAGGAGGAGCCTGGTAAGGATAAATTGAAATTACCAAGCAATGAAGGGAGGACAGGCAATTTCAGGCAGAGGAGGCTACATGGCCAAAGTTAAGGGTGCAAGGAAAGGCCAGTGTGCTGGTGATTGCTAGCAATTTGGTACTTTTGGAGATCACAGGTAAAAGGATAAAGGGAGATGAAGTTAGGGAGATAGGAAATAACAGATTAAGTTGGGTTTTGTAAGCTATTTAAAAAAACTTGAACTTTAATCTGTACAGACAATGGAGATGCACAAGAGTTTAAATCACAGGCATAGGTAAGTGTAATTAGTAACATCATAGCTATATTATACCGCACTCTACTATACTATACGTTACTAAGTCCACAAAACATTTTGTCAGATTTTAAGGGAAAATATTTTTTAAAAATAAACAATATGAACCTTATCGACTTTATGCAAATTTCTATGTCAGTGCCTTAACTTTTACCTCATTAATGGGAAATTTAGGAGAAATTTAGAAGAGTGTGATTTAATGCCCTCAATATGACAGATGATTTCTGTTTTCCCTCTACCAAGATTTGGGTTTGACTTGTTTATGTCATAGGAGGACTATAATGCAGAAAGTGACTGTAAAGGTCTATGGGACATTGTTCAACGGCTTATCTAGAAAAGAAGGGTGAATATATCCCTACAAGATGAAGATATCCCTTGGGGATATAATTTAAAGAGGACCAAAATTTTTTTCAACTTCTGTAAATACTCTTTTATATTTAACAAAAAAAAAAATGAAATAAAACAAAATCACATATGAAAAAAATCTTTGCTTTTTTTTTGTTTCCTTGTTAGCTTTTAAAATTTTTATTTATAAATCAAGAAATGTATTTTCCTAAAAACTATGACTAGTCCAGTTGCCTGATCTTGGGACTAGGAATTATAAACTGAGCCCTGTTCCTGTAGATGATTTTCTGTTTAGTATTATAAAAAGTCTTTCTGTGACTCAGCTCCTGTTAGAATTAGATTATGGGGTTTCCCAGGTTTCTTGATGAAAAAAATGGAGAGACTTCCACACTTCTTAAATGTAATCTATCTTAGAGGTATGAAAGTCCTGGAATCAAAGAATTTAGAATTTAAGGATAGGACTTAACACGTTATCTGAGTCAATATTCCCTTGTGATTATTTATCCAAGGTCCAGCACAGCAATGTTCTGTGTACAGTTACACTAAGAGTTTGCAGAAGACCATAGAATGGGCTAGTTGGTCTAGGTGGGAAGCAAGGATCGCACAGGTAAAAGGCAGCTCCAAGAAAGGGTCAGAAAAGGGGGTATTCTGAAGGCCATGGACCTTGAATGAAGATGGTTCCTTATGGGATGGGGGAAAATTGCACCTCTTCGGGTGTGATGTTAATAATGATACCTCTAGACTCTTCCTGCTTGGTGTTATTTCCCTCAAGTTGGCCATGATGTCAGCCCTACCTAGAGTCTGAATCAAAATCCCAATTAATAAAACTTTTGTTGCTGTTGTTTTTAGTTTAATGGTAATGACAGCAACATGGCATGATTCGTTTTAATCCCTATTCTCTGCCCATCAGACATTACTACCTGGGCATAGCTCATTTCCTCACTGAGCCCAGACTCAGCCTTAGAATTTGTCACAGTCTAGTACTCTGGGCAGCCACTGCCAATGGACTTAGACTAGCCCATCAGATACAATTTATTTGCCATCCCCAGATTAGAATTAAAGGTATGTATATTGGTTCCAAAAGAACTCTGTTACCCTGGAAAGCTGGTGTGATATTCTTGTTGAATACATTCCTTTTAGTTGAATACTCAGTTTTCACTTAAGCCTACTCAGACAAGTATTTCTGCAGTTGCCTGAGAGATGGTGTCAAATGCTTTATTCTGTACCCTTGCTCTGAAAGCTCTTATTCCAATAAGCTGACTTTCTTTGGTGTTACTTTTCCCTGTGCTAATTACTTTCATCATCCTACCCACAGGGAGGCAGATTATTAACACTGGTATATAAATTTTTAAAAACCTCAATTTGCAAAATAAGCAACAAGAGCCCTGCCCTTTGCCCTGGATTTCTATAAGGTGCCTAGTTAAATATGCCCTGTGTGCGTTCTGGTTTCCTTATTTGGTTGTAGGGGGCAGAGACCTCACTTTTCATGATTCACCCTGCATATTTCTGACTCTTGCCTCAGGGTGCTTTTGTGAATCCTCTGCATAATTTTGGATAAGATGAATTTGTACACCCCCCACTCCATGTTTGGTTGCTGCAGCTCTCTCCATGTGGCTGCCAGAGTCCTCTGTGGGGGTGTGGGTAGAGGAAAGGTGGTTCATTGATTTACTCAACAAATATATACTGAATGCCCACTATGAGCCAGGCTCTATACTAGAGACTGTGTTTGTTGTGGTTGGTCAGATAGAAATGATTCCTGGCGGGGCACCTGGGTGGCTCAGTCATTAAGCATCTGCCTTCGGCTCAGGTCATGATCTCAGGGTCCTGGGATCGAGCCCCACATCGGGCTCCCTGCTCGGCGGGAAGCCTGCTTCTCCCTCTCCCACTCCCCCTGCTTGTGTTCCCTCTCTCACTATGCCTCTGTCTGTCAAATAAATAAATAAAATCTTAAAAAAAAAAGAAAAGAAATGATTCCTGGCTTCATGGAGCACAGGATTCAGTAGATGAAACAAGCAATAAACAGAGATAAATGACATACTAGCATAGTGAGATAAATGCTTTGAAGGACAAGAACATAAGAATTATAAGAGAATGTGTCTAGAGAATCCATTTATATTGGGTGATTGATGAAAACACCTATGAAGAGGTAACCTTGAAATGGAAGTCTGAGGATAAGTGGTTAGTCATGAGGAGTGCGGGTAAGTGTTCCAGACAGAGGGAGAAGTGTGAGTGTAGGCCCTGAGGTGGCATTTGATGTGAACAATGACCCCAACTTCCCTGTGAGGGCCTAATCTGGCTCTCAAAGAGCCACAGTAGCTTTGGCAGACAAATACAAATTCCAGTCCAGGAAAGAGGGAGGCCACCTTCTGACCAGGGTCTCATATAAGAAAGATTTTCCATTTTACCTGGTGTGAGATACGCCTGTTAATTGATTTATGAAGGTCTCATAGCAATATGCATGGGCCAGGAATGAGGTTTTATATTCATGGTAAAAAGTTAAACATTTGGCACTGCCATTTGGGAAGGTCTCACTGCAAAGGCCAAAGTCAAGACTGGAATGCTGGCTCCCCGTGTCCTCTTACAGTTTGGTGTCCTTGCTGCTGTAGGTCAGATGATTTTCCATCACTCTGGCCTTTGAGAACTAAGGTGCCAGATTCTCTGAAGAGAGCATTGTCCTGATAAAGGAAAAACATGAAGGCACTGGATGTTTTAACTGTGGAACATAAGAGAGAACAGAGGTAATGTTGTGTTTTGTTTTTTCCCCTCAATTTGCTTTACTTTTTAGACCACATTGTTTGGACACTGAAAGTCATGTTTTTGTACTTCTTTTGTGGCATTTTGACTGCCACAAAAGAGCCAGAAAAACTATTCCAGAGCCAGAAAAACTAAAATATAAATAAATCCAGACAGGCTCTTAGAAGCAGTTAGTAAATCAGTCCTATATTTTAAAAAATTTTTTCTTTTCTAAGTAACTATTACTTGAGCTGAAATTTAGCTTACCAGATCTGCCTCATTTGAAAGTTTTCTGAAACAGAATATTTGGCAGAGTTTCTTCCTGTATTAAAATTAATCACATAATATGAGGAAGGGCAAAAACTTCTTCCAGTCTCTACGGAGTGAAGGGAAACAAAAAGGGGAGTTAATTGCCTAACAATTCACCTAAAAAGCTGTGCATAATTGTTCTACATTTCTCCAAAACAAACATAACAAAGGTTTTTTTTCTAATAGCTTAAGAAAGACCAGACAAACAAGAGAGCAAGACAAACAATTCCCCTAATTTTCCAGAAGGAAAACAAGTGGTAAGGCACGCTCACTTGCCTTGCATCCACTACTCCCCTTTGCTTTACTCACTGCACTCAAAAATTAAATGAGTTAATATCCACCAAGCCCCCCAGAATTTTGGGCCCATAAGATCTCCTATACAAGTATGTATTAAATTTTTTTAAAAAGAGAGAGAAAGTGAAGACGCATAGGAAAGAGAATGAAGAAGGCCAAAGAGGTGAAGCAAGCAGAGGGAAACTGTGGAGAATTCTGAAATGCTCAGAATACATAAAATGAAGTTAAATTCTTCCAGAATGCCTCAAGAACCTGTACAATATCTTCTTAAACTCCAGTTAAACTACTAGAGACTCTCAAACAGATAAATTCTATAAAAAGCAAAGTGAAGGTAAACTCTACAAGTTTCTAACTTATAGATGTCATGAGCTTGTACCCTGAAACATATTCTTTTCATTATAAAAGTGCCTAAAACTTCTTGATTTTGAGTAAATCTAACAGATACTGAGCTAGCCCTCCTCCAGTGTACATAGGAAACTGGACAACAGTCTGTGAAAGACTGCAATCTCTGAAAGAAGAGAAACTGACAAGGGAAGCCTCATATTAACCCTACCTCCCTGCTTGAGAATTTCTGTACTGAAGCCAGTGAAATGGAGTTAGCAGAGCAAGATGGTCCTGCTGACTTGAGGAAGCTGAAGTGGCTGGAATCTGCAGGGCAGGCACCAGAGAAGAGGGGACTACACAGAGCAGCACCCCAGAAGTTTTCATGGAGATTGGACTGGGGAGTTCTGCACAAATCCTTGGCCAAGGGCTGTGCTAGATATGAGGCTTACCAAAGGGTGGAGAATAAAACAGATACTACTAGTGGCCCAGCAGTGCCAGGGACTTTGGAGTCCTGGCCCAGCAGGAGTGGAAAGACAGCTACAACACCTTGTTAACAGCACAGTCACTTAGCTGAGACACCAGAAATTCTGTGATGGGTTGTGTAAATGAAATTATATTGTTTAAGGTTACTGCATTTCTGAACTGGGAGTTGTGAAGTACGAAATAGTTCAGTATTGACTATAAATAGACTTGGATAAGTTCAGACATATATATATATATATATTTTAAAGATTTTTAATTTATTTGACAGAGAGAGACACAGCGAGAGAGGGAACACAAGCAGGGGGAGTGGGAGAGGGAGAAGCAGGCTTCCTGCTGAGCAGGGAGCCTGATGTGGGGCTTGAACCCAGGACCCTGAGATCATGACCTGAGCCGAAGGCAGACGCTTAACAACTGAGCCACTCAGGCGCCCCCAGACATATATTATTAACCCTAGAGCAACCACTAAAAAATAATAAAAACAGATATAGATAATAATTCAACAAAGGAAATAAAATGTGAAATGAAAAAAATTGCATAAACACAAAAGAACATAGAAAAGAAACAAAAGAGAAACAAAATGGACAAATGAAAAACAACTATCAAGATGATAGATATAAACCAAATCATATCAATAATTACATCAAACATTAATGGTCTAAACACTCCAATTAACAGGCAGAAATTGTCAGACTGGATAAAAAAGACAAATCAAATTCGATTTCTGCCTAAAAGAGACAAGTTTTAAATTTAAAGATATCAATTTGATTTTTCAAAAGTAATTTGTCTTTTTTATTCTCTTTAAGATACATACATACATTTAAAGACACAAATATATAGAAGGCAGGAGGAAACTTGGTGGTTATATTAATACCAAAGTAGACATCAAGACCAAGAGTTTTAAGAAGGACAGAGTGCCATTTAATAATGATAAAATGGAATCATTAGGAAAAATCAACAATCTTAAATATGTATACTTCAAACAACAGAGCTTTAAATTTCATGAAGCAAAAATTGGCAGATCTAGAGATAGCAATCAACAGTATAAATTTAGCAAGTTTGTAGGGTAGGAAGTCATTATACAAAATGATTCCATTTCTGTATCAGCAAACAGTTGAAAAATGCAATAAAATGCTACTTACAGTTATAAAACATAAAGTACTTAGGATTAAATTTTATAAAAGATATGTAAAACTTCTACGTTAAAAATTACAAAATATTACTGTTAACTATATTTTTATTTAAAAATCTAGAAAATATTACTGAGAGAATTAATAAAGATCTAAATAGAGAGATATACCTGGTTCATGGATTGGAGCACTTAATATCATTAGGATATACATTTTCCCCAAATTGATTTATAGATTCAAAACAATTCAAATAAAAATTTCAGAGACTTTTAAAATAGAAATTGACATGCTGATCCCAAAACGTATATGAAAATGCAAAGGGCCTTAAGATGCTAAATCAATTCTGAAACAAAAGAAAAATAAGTTGAAGGGTTTATACAACTTGATTTTAATACTTAACATAAAGCTATAAAACCAAGTAGCTTTGTATTAGGGATAAGGGCTTACAGTCTGAGTTGTAATTGATGAATTGTGAAGTCCCAATATGGACAACTTTGAGAATTAAAAAGCCAGGAAGACTCAGTTATAAGTAGGCAGCCACAGTTTTGTGAGATTTACCTCCTGGAGCTTGACCAGGTTCTCCTAGTAAGTATCAAAGAAAAATCCCCTCAAGCTTCTGGCAGAGGGAAGGGAAAAGGAAACATTTGGAAATATGCCAGAGCACTTTGTTCCTAACAAGGCCTGCCCTCAGGAGAAACTAGCTAATCAGAGCCTAAGTGACGTGGAGGAAGGGAAATATCCCAACTCCAGCCCATTTTAGCCATCCCACCGAAGAGGGGGAGAAAAACACAGGAACAACTTGTGAAGCTCATAGTCCTGAGCAATTTCACTTCTAGAAATTTTTCCTGAGGATATGTCTCTACATATAAAAGGAAAATGGGTATTATTCAATATTAAATTGTTAGCAATAGCAAAATGAAAAATAACCAAAATGCCTATTTGTGGAAAAGAGTAGAATAAGCTGTGATATATCTACACAATGGATTTCTATGAAGCCATAAATAATAATGAAGAACATGTCCATAAACTAACATGGAATGATTTTGGGGATGTATTTTAAGTGAAAAATCATGGTGTATATATAGTTGACTCTTGAACAACATGGGGGTTAGGGGTGCCAACCCCTGCACGGTCAAAAATCCAAGTGTAACTTTTGACTCCCCAGAACTTAACTACTAACAACCTACAGTTAACCAGAAGCCTTACCAATGACACAAAAGAGTCGATTAACATGTATTTTGTGTTATATATATTATATGCTATTTTCTTAAATCGAAATAAGCTAGATAAAAGAAAATGTTAAGAAAATCATAAGGAAGAGAAAATACATTTACCCTACTGTAGTGTATTTATTGAAAAAATCCACATATAAGTGGACCTGTGCAGGTCAAACCCATGCTGCTCAAGGGTCAATTGTAGTATGCCACATTTTGTGTAAGAAAAAGGGGTAAATAGAAGGGATAAAAAATTATCACACGTTTGCTTGTTTTTGCAAATAAAAAACCCCAACAACATAGGAAGGACAGAAAATGGTTACCAATTGGGTGTAAATGGGAATAGTAGAAGGGTAAAGAATTTTTTAATATAGTTTGTAATTTGAGCTATGTAAATGTTCTATATATTCAAAAAATACGGCTAAAATAAAAAGATTTAAAAAAGCAAACCCTTTAGTTTGCCAGAGTTTATTCTCAGAAAATCACTGGTTGGCTCTGTTTCTGTACCTAAATCAGGACTGAATTTCTACACATAGAATGAAGTGTTGAAGAAGGTATTAGCCCTTTAATGATAAATTTTCTTTACAAAGTGGTTTTAGTGTGAAATTAAGATAGGAAACATTTTTTTTTTTAAAGGCATTGTTCTTTCTTTACGGTCCATCTCATTTCTTATGAAATAAAGTGATTTTATTTAAAGGTAGTTCCACTGTCATTCCTGAAAAATGTGCTCTTCAGTCATAGCACCAGTTTAAAAAAAAAAAAAAAATATATATATATATATATATATATATATATATATATATACAGAAGTTCAAAGGAGGGGGAAATGGTTGAGACAAACTTTTCAACTGATCTTGTCAAGCCGTCTCACATGTTACCGTTTCCCAGGCTACATTTTTTTCAAAAAACCTGATACATACTGAAATCTTGAAGAAAATTGGGTAATAAAGATAATTTGTTAAGAATCTGAACAACTGGGGCGCCTGGGTGGCTCAGTTGGTTAAGCGACTGCCTTCAGCTCAGGTCATGATCCTGGAGTCCCGGGATCGAGTCCCGCATCGGGCTCCCTGCTGGGCGGGGAGCCTGCTTCTCCCTCTGACCCTACCCCCCTCATGTTCTCTCTCCCTCTCATTCTCACTCTCTCAAATAAATAAATAAAATCTTAAAAAAAAAAAAAAAGAATCTGAACAACTGAAATAAACTTGTTTTTAAGAGTTCCACTATGTAAGTCACAACTTGAAACATTTCTAGTTA